CAACCCCTCTCAGCGGCTCAGGTAGCATTTGTTTTACTGTAGAAAACTCTGTTTGATACCCCTGTCCCCTCCTCCTCTGTCGTCGCCGCAGTATAAGCTCGACTTACGAAGGGAAGGGGGGAGGGGTGGTGTATCAGGATCAGCGAGGAAGGGGGAAGAAAAAGAGATCACCCTAGACCCCGTAAGAGATCACCCTGGATCTGCCTATGCCGTCGATTCTCTAATACAGATTTTCGAAAACTTTATTTGTTTTGACAAAAAAAAAGTTTGTTCCATCTTTTAGATTAATCGATATCATGCAGTTGCGTAATTATTGTTTTAATAATACCAAGATTTTGTTAGTTTCAGCTCCTAAAACTGGTATATTTGGAGCCGCAGCTAGTGTGGTAACCACTACTGCACCAACAACTACTACAGCAACTGCAGCAGCAGCAACTCCATTTTCATTTGGCACTTCAGCAGCTGCGAATAAATTTTCATTGTTCGGTAAATATTGAACATAAATTCGTCCTCAACATTATTATTATGTTGTTGATTGCTCAATTTACTAAGTAGGAAACTGGAAAAAGCGTTTTTCCTCCGCTGAAATTAATTTATTTGTTGAAAACATTGCAATATCATACACATAGCGCTGCAGTACTTTCTCGCTGTTCACGAAAAAGCATTCGAAATTCATCGCTTCATCGTTGCCCACTGTCACAGTAGCTTTAGCTCTTGTGTTTTCGTCAGTGACCACGTTTCGCATTCGTACTTCAACGTTTTGGAAGAGATGTTTTATGTCGTTGTTACGATAAAACTCGAATGACGACGATGCTAGGGCGACAAGACAGTCGTGGCTACTCGGACGACAACGATGTTTCTGTCTCTGTTTGGTGGAGACGCCGGGATAACCAAACAAACTTTATCTACACAAAAAAAGAACATAGTCGAAATTTGGGTCGCTTGGGCCAAAGATGAAATCCAGCACCACAGCTGCAGACGGAGAACACGTCTAACACTACTCAATACTCCAACACTGACATTTATAATAAAATCGCATGCTTATTATACTTATCACAAAGGGCGGAACAAATCACAGAGGACCGAGAGGCTGGTCAACGGTTCGATTCTGGATTGCTCTTTGCTTCTCTTGCGCACCATCTTTTGCGCTCTTTACAGGTGTGTAAAATGACCAATTCCTTTTTCTCCTTCTAACCGGAAATTTTGGGTTTTAAAATTTGTTCCTCTCTTTTTGTTCCTGCTAATTTTACTATTTTCTCAGGTAAAACACCAGAACAGTCAGGTGCTGCTCCAACAACAACGACTGCAGCAGCAACAACAGCAGCAACCGCGTTTGGCAGTACACTGACCGGTGGAAGTACAAGTTTGTTTGGATCGAAGCCGGCTACGGGAAGCTTATTTGGTCAACTTTCCGGTGCATCATCATCAGCCGTCAGCCCAGCTACTACCACTGCTGCTGCTGCTGCTCCTACTGCTGCAACTACAACTACAACTGCAGCTACAACTGCAGCTGCTACTACTGGCTTTTCATTTGGTACCGCTGCAAGTTAGTACTGCTTTGTTTTGAATGCGTTTCAGTTCATATTGGTCAGCTTTTTTTAGAGGTGTTTTTGTTTTTTTGA